CTCGCCCCGCCCCCATGGAAGGCCTCACCCTCCCTGGGGAGCAGAAAGGGTATGGGATAGGTGGGGTGTTAGCTGGAGGGTGGGGAGCAGAGGAGGAGGGGAGTAAGAGGGACCTGGGATTGACATGTAAAATAATTTTCTTTCTAATAAAATAAAAAGAAAAAAAATTATGTATGAGATCTGCCTGCACGTTTCCCTGCAGGCCAGAAGAGGGCACCAGATCTCACTACAGATGGTTGTGAGCCACCATGTGGTTTCTGGGAATTGAATTCAGGACCTCTGGAAGAGTAGTCAGTGCTCTTAACCTCTGGGTCATCTCTCCAGCCCCCAGACATGCTTTCACCACAAGACAGGGCAGGTCCCTAGTTAATTATTGAACCACTGGGTTTGTCTTTATCAGCCACACGGTCCCCGTTCCTGTTGGTTGGACAGAACCTGGATGATCGTACTGTGACTTCCAGGCTCCCACTGGGATCTCAAAGATGGCATGTTCCACTATGGAACCACGGTGGGGTCATCCTACCAGCCTTGTCACACAGCTGCCTGGGACTTGAAGGCAAACATTATTTCCCTTTTGAATACATGCCTTCTTTATAGTAGCCAAGGCAGTCACTGTGGGGTATGTGAACAGGTTTCCCTGTGGTCTGTTCCCTGTAGGGGACTCCGCGGACAATTCAGACAGTGCATGGCACAGGAAAGTCGACATGTCTGTTTGTGAACACAGAGGACCTGGAACTTTGTAGTACCACCTCCTGTACCCTCAGTTAGGTAGAAGGTGGCAGCTGATAACAGCCAAGGAAAGAATCCTTGGAGGCTGGCATGTGCCTAGGACTCAAGCGTGCTGTCTGAAGACTGAGGACTACAACCAGATGATCAGAGAGCTGGACACAGGCACCTGAATCTCTGTCAGGACCATAGTTGGACTGTTCTTCCTAGTTCTCAGGTGTCCACGACTCGTGACATTTGAGGGCAGTCCCCACACCCCTCACCCACTCCAAGATTCCAGGATGCAGGATATGGCTTCTCTCCTGGTCTCTGCACACACTGCTCCTCCTTCAGCCCCCACCAAGGCCAATAAAGAGCAGAGAAAGGGGGGCTCTGTGAGCTCTGGCTTTTCGTTCCCACATCCTTCCCTGTCAGCTGCCACCTGAGCATTCCTCTGCTGCTGTCGGAGACCTCACCATGGCAAAGCAGAGCCAGGCAAAGACAGAACCCACCGCATTCCACATGAGTTGCAGTGCCCAGGCTTCCTGTCCTTCTGTACACTGCCCCTGTGTGGGGCCTGAGAGCATCACCCAGATCCTCTTACAAAAACATTGAGTTGTCCAAACTTCCCAGAAATGTCTCTAAGTCAGAAAGTCAGTATTGGATAAATCGAAACAGCAAAGCAGGTTTCAAATACAGTTAGAGTATAAATATGACAGGGTCCACTCTGCTTGCATTTTTTTCTTTTTTGAGGGGAGAGTTCATGAAATAGTCTAGCCACAGCAACAACCCTACCATGAGACATTAGGCCCTGCTCCATCTTTCCTACTTACCCACCAGGGAGCGTAGACCATCAGGTGACCACTTAGTACTCTATTCTGTGTTTCTTTCTATTATGGCCTGTGCCTTTATAAATGTTAAGTGTCCACCCCACCTACTTCACAAAAAGCTTCACTTTCGTGGCTGGGGTGTGGTCAGTGGTTGAGTGCTCTCCTGGTCTTGGTGAGACTCTGGGTTCAATATCCAGCATTGTAAAGG